CAAAGTCGCCCGTGTGGTGGAAGGCGCAGTCCCAGACGGCCTGCGTGTGGTCCGTGAACGTCGTCGCGCAGGACGCGCCCGCGAAGTCCCAGACCTTGACCGTCTTGTCGCCGGACGACGTCGCGAGGTGCGTGCCCGCGGGGTGGAAGTCGACGCCCGCGACCCAGTCCCGGTGGCCCTCGCCGGACATGACGAGGTCGCAGTTCGGCACGCTCCAGAGCTTCCAGGTCATGTCGTCGGACACCGTCGCCAAAATGGGCTTGTGCGGGTGGAACGCGGCCGCGGCGACGCTGTTGAGGTGGCCCCGGAACGTGCGCCGCAGCTGGAAGCGTTCCACTGATGGCGGGTCGAAGGTGAGGGCGCTGTAGGGGTTCGTCACGGACCCGGCCTGGGGCAGGCGGCTGTCCGCGCCCTTCTTGGGCAGCCGCGGCTTCGACGGCGCGGCCTGCTTCGAGCCCGCGCGCTCGTCCTGGAGCTGCTTGATCTGGGCCTCGAGCGTGTGGACGCGGGCCTTGATGCGGTCCCGCTCGAGCCGCGTGAGCATCTTCTCCTTCATGGCGACCTCGTACTTGCGCTGGAGGTCCTTGAGCGTCGGCTCGTAGGAGAGGTAGTGCTTCCGGAGCCGCTGGAGGTCGCTCGTGAGCTTCTCCTTCTCCTGGACGACGCGCCGGTGGTGCATGCGGTGGAAGTCGCGCTCCTTGCGGAACTTGTCCCAGGTGCCCTGCGCGCGCGCGGTGATCTCGCGCATCTTGTCGAGCTGCCGCTGGAGACCGACGACCTTCTCGTCGAGCTCCTGGTTCCGGAGGTAGATGTCGGGCACGGTGGACGTGTACTCCTCGGCGAGCTTGCCCTTGGCCTGGAGCTCGTACCACTCGCTGTTGAAGTTGTCCAGGGTCCGCGTCATGCCGACCTTGATCAAGAAGTTGCGGATGAAGTCGTCGACGACCTCGGGCCGCACCTGCGTCAGCACGCGGTCCTCGCCGTGGCCGTGGTGGCTCGGGCCCGACGCCACGGAGCCGGGCTTCTTCGCGTCCATCTTCTGCACGCTCGCCAGCGCCGCGGCGAAGTCCTCGTCGTCGTCGTCCTCCTCCTCCTCCTCGGGGTCCACGAGGCCCGCGTCGGCGGCGACGCCGGCGTAGTCGTAGTCGTCCTCCTCGTCGTCGCTGATCTCGTAGCGCTCCACGACCTCCACCTCGTTCATGAGGTCGTCCATGGCGGCGCGGACCGGAGGCGAGCGCCGGGCCGCGGTTATTATGGTCCAGCAGCGCGTTGCCTGATTGATATGTGTTTGGAGAGGGTGAGTGAAGGGGTGAAGCACATGATGTTGCTTTTCTGAGGGCTCTCTTAGAGAGTCCTCTCTGGCAATGGATCCCGCCGCCAGCCGGGCTCCTCGCCGTGCTCGCCTCCGTCGCCGTGGCCTATGCGCTCACCCTGCCGAAGCGGCGGCGATCGCTCGGCAGGCGCGGCGCGAAGCCGCCGGCGCCGCTGCCCGCGGACTTCCCCGTGACGCCGGCCAAGGTCCTCGCGGCGTCGAAGCGCGTGGCGCCCCACGTGCACCGGACGCCGGTGCTCACCTGCGGCTGCCTCGACGCCGCCGCGGGCCGGCGGCTCCACTTCAAGTGCGAGGTGCTCCAGAAGACGGGCAGCTTCAAGGTCCGGGGCGCGACGAACGCCGCGCTCCTCCTCGAGGACGCGGCGAGCCCGCTCGTGACGCACAGCAGCGGGAACCACGCCCAGGCCATCGCCCTCGCCGCGAAGCTCCTGGGGCGCGACGCCCACGTCGTCATGCCCGACACGGCGCCGGCCGTGAAGCGGGCCGCCGTCGCGGGCTACGGCGCGACGATCACGTTGTGCGCGCCGACGAACGCCGCGCGCGCCGAGGCCGCGGCGGCCAAGTGCGCCGAGGTCGGCGGCAGCTTCGTGCACCCGTCCGACGACCCCGACGTCATCGCGGGCCAGGGCTCCGTCGCCGTCGAGTTCCTCGAGCAGGCGCCGTTCCTGGACGCGCTGATCGTCCCCGTCGGCGGCGGCGGCCTCGTCTCGGGCATCGCGGTCTACGCCAAGGGCCTGCGGCCGGACCTGAAGATCATCGGCGCCGAGCCGGCCCTCGTCGACGACGCCGCGCGGTCCAAGGCCGCGGGCGCGCGCCTCGGCTTCGCGACGGGCGACGTCGTCCCCGACACGCTCGCGGACGGGCTGAAGACGCTCCTGGGCGACAACACGTGGCCCGTCGTCCGCGACCTCGTCGACGACATCATCACCGTCGACGAGGCGGAGATCGCCGACGCGACGAAGCTCGTCTGGGGGCGCATGAAGCTCTGCATCGAGCCGAGCGCGGGCGCGGGCGTCGCCGCGGCGACGGGCGCGAAGTTCCGCGCCCGCTACCCGCCGGACGCCTACCCCAACGTCGGCGTCGTCCTCTGCGGCGGCAACCTCGACCTCGCCAAGGCCGCCAAGACCCTCTTCGCCGAGGCCGGGTAGACGTTGCACGAGCGTAACAGCACCGTGACGGGAGCGACGCGGTGTGTAACTCCGGATCCCTGCGAGAGCATTGGCTGCCCATTCGGGGGGTGACGCGGCCGCCCGGCGCCCGGGGCCGCCTCCCGGGCGCCCGGCATGGCGCGGGCCATGACCGACGAGGAGGCGGCCCTCGCCTGCCCGCTCGAGTCCCACGCCGACGCCCTCGTCCCCGTCCCCGTCGACGGGCACGTCGCCGAGCAGCGGCGGCGGCGGCGGAGCCGCATCCGGTCGCTCAGCGACATGCCGCAGCTCTTCGAGGACGAGGCGTCGGACGCGCCGGCGCCCGCGCCGCTCCGGCCCACGGAGGCGCAGCGCGCCGACGCGCGGCACCGGAGCCGGCGGTCGTTCAACGACTTCGAGGCCATGCGCGGCGGCTTCGACGCGCCCCGCCCCCGGTCCCAGAGCCGTTTAGGCGAGCAGGAGCTCGGCACGGCGGAGCTGTCCCAGTGCGAGGCGACGCTGCGGGAGCTCGCGGCGCCCGCGGACGCGGGCGCCGCGGCGGGCTTCGCCGCGACGATCAGCCACCTCCGCGCCTACGTCGTCGGCGCGCAGCTCGGCGGCGCCGCGACGCTCCGGTCCCTCCTCGAGCGCATCACGGGCTTCGCCAAGGACTTCACGTCCTGCGACGCGGCGACGCTCTACCTCGCGGACGACCGCGACGAGACGGCGCTCGTTATGCGCATGTCGACGAACTGGGCAGGAAAAGGGTGATTCAACGTCGCTTCAACGTGAGTGTTCCGCGCGCGCGCGTTCCGGGGAAAGCATCCACGCTTCGAGGGGGCTCCGAGAGATGATCGCTCGTCCAAAAATTAGCCGAAACGAGCGGAAAACGACCGAGATATGAGCCTCCAAAGTTGGAAATTTCGCACTCTTTTCCTGCCCAGGTCGACGAATTGGGACGCGCGGAACGCGGCCAAGGCCATCCGCATCCGCGCGGGCCAGGGCCTCGCGGGCATGACCATGATGGAGCAGCGGCCCGCGCGCCTCGACGACGCCTACGAGTCCAAGTACTTCCAGGCGCGCTACGACCGCGAGTCGGGCTACGTGACCCGCTCCGTGCTCTGCGTGCCGCTTTTAATCCGCCGCGACGGCGCCGCGCCCTTCCTGCTCGGCGTGCTGCAGTGCCTCAACAAGCTCGCCCCGGCCGCCGAGGAGCCGCTCGGCGACAGCATGAACTTCGACGAGTCGGAGGCGCCGCGCGAGGTGCTCATCGTCCGCGACGGCAAGAACGGCGCGAGCCGCGACATCGCCGTGACGCCCTTCACGGCCGACGACGAGGCCGGCCTCTGCGGCGTCGCCGCGGCGGCGACGGGCGTCATCGAGAAGGTGCGGGCCCTGGACAAGGCGCTCCGCGCGTCGCAGCTCGCGAACGCGCGGCGGCCGTCGCAGCCTGTGTGCAAATCAAATCTTCAACCCGACTTCAATGTGCGCGTAATCGAACAGTTTTGACACAAACACTTCCGCTGCGCTTCGAGAACTCGCTGAGAGCAATCGATCCGTCCAAAAATCAGCCGAATCGACTTCGATTTGACCGAGATAGAGAGGTTTGAAGTTTTGCTGGACGCGTCCATTCCACTGGTTGATTTGCACACAGGTCGCAGCGCGCGCTCGAGCTCAGCGCGCTCGCGAGCTCGAGCCTGCTGAGCGACATCAACGACACCTACGCCGTGAAGATGGACGTCGCGACGTCCTCGGACGCCGCGGCGGAGCCGGGCGAGGCCGCCGCGACGCGGCGCCGGTCCAAGGGCGCGTCCTTCGACTCGCCGCGCGCCGCGCGGCTCTCGTTCGACGACCTCGCGACGATCGACGCCGCGGCGCCGCGGTCGCCCCGCGGCGGCGCCGACGACGGCGGCGCGCCGCGCCTCGCGTCCATGGGGTCGCCGGTCATCGGCCTCGAGGTGTCCGTGAAGAAGCGGCGGAGTGGCACGGTCCGCGACGACGAGGGCGGCGAGTCGCTCGCGGGGTCGCTCGCGGGCTCCCTCGCCTCGGAGGGCGACGGCCGCCAAACGGACGACAAGCCCCGCGTCGAGAACGACCCGGCCATGGTCGTCACGAGCCCCATCGTCACGCCGCCGCCGGAGCCCGCGCGCGCGGCGACCGCGAGCCCGCCGCCCGCGCCGCGCTGTGTGGAAACCAAATCTTCAACCCGACTTCAATGTGAGCGTATTCGAATGGTTTGACACAAGCTCTTCGGCTGGGCTTCGAGAACTCGACGAGAGCCATCGATCCGTCCAAAAATCAGCCGAATCGACTTCGATGGGACCGAGCTAGAGAATTCTCAAGTTTGGTCAGGACCACCCAAACCAGCGGTTGGTTTCCACACAGGCGCCGCGGACGCTGGCCCTCAAGCTGCCCCTCGCGGAGTCGGCGGCGGCGCCGGCGGACGCCAAGGGCGCCGCGCGGGGCCGGAGCCTGCAGCCGAACCCCGTGGCGCCGACGTCGCCGAACAAGCGCGAGCGGCCGAGCCCGCGCGAGGCGCGCGGCCGCCGGGCCGGGGGCGCCGGCGCCGCGCGCGGCGTCTTCGGGCCCAACGGCATCCCGCGGTCCGCGCGCCTGACGCCCGGCGTGCCCCTGGGCTCCAACGGCTCCAACGGCGTCGACCTCGTGTCCGCGAACTCGTCGAGCGCCGCGCCCGTCGTCGCGAACGACTCCAAGGCGCGGCTCTCGCTGCACCCGGCGCCGCGCGTCAACACGATGAAGGAGCTCGAGGCCGCGGACTTTGGCCTGCCGAGCCCGAAGCGGCCGCCGCGGCCGCTGAACGTGCCCGAGCTCGGCAAGCCCACGAACCGCGCGGCGCTCTCCAAGGCCGCGCGCGCGGACCGCGTCGCCACGTGGACGCCCGTCATCGTCAACCCGGGCGTCCACGCCAAGGACAAGAACCAGTTCGTCCCGGCGAACCAGCGATAGTGGGGTCCTCTTTTTAGCGGCCCGGGCGGCAGGGGGCGGACCCTGCTTGTTTCCCTCAACTTGAATTCAAGCGAGCTCGAAGTCGGGAAGGCTGAGCCTGGGCCGGGCTGCCCGCCATAGCGCCCGCGGGCTCACCGCGCCCGGTACCGCTGCAGCGCGCGCGGCATCGCATCGCCGGCGCATGCGGGCCGCCGTCGCGGCGTGCCTGCTCGCGCGCGCCGGTGCGCACGTGGGCTACGGCCACCCCTTCCAGAAGCGCACGAACCTGAGCGTCTGGTGGTTGCACTTCCCCAAGACGGGCACGTCGCTGTCGAGGACCGTCGACGAGTACCCCGTCTGCTGCGGCCGCTTCGTCGAGAACCACCAGCCCCTAACCCGCGGCGCGCGACGGCGACCAGCTCAGCTCCGTCGTCGCGCTCTTCCGGCCGCCCGCGCAGCGGCTCCTGTCGATGCACTACTGGCTCGTCAAGAAGGCGGGCCGCTGCTGTTCGACGGACTGGGGCTGGCCGCCGGCCCAGGAGGCGGCGACGAAGCGCCTCGTGGCCGCGGGCGCGCCGCCGGCCGAGACCGTCGCCGCGTTCGGAGGATGCGCGACGGCGATGGTCCTGGGGCGCAAGTGCATGGTCCGGGACCGCGCCTTCGAGGCGGCCGACGTCGACGAGGCTATTGCTCGTGTGGCTCAGTTCAAGGTCGTGGGGTTGACGGAGGAGTGGCGGCTGAGCGTGTGCCTGCTGAACGCGGTCCAGACGGGCGCGAAATTCGTGACGCCCGCGCAGATGGCCGACGTCAACCCGACGGCAGGAACCAACGCGACGATCTACAACACGACCGAGCTCGGGGCGGCCTACGCCGACGCGGACGCCCGGCTCTACGCGTTCGCGGAGCGGCGCTTCCGCCGCGACCTCGACCGCTTCGACGTGCGGCCCGACTCGTGCGCCGACGTCTCCGACGACGAGGGCGCGCGCATCCTCGACGCCTTCGCGCTGCGGCGCGACCCGGCGGGCATGGGCCTGCATCGGCTGGCCGCCGTCGACCGCGCGCTCCGGCGCCCGAGCCGGCGCGACCCGGTCGACGCGGCCGCCGTCGCGCGGCTCGCGGCCCGGCAGGAGGCCCTCGAGGCCGCCCTCGGCTGCGCGCCGCTCCCGCCGCCCCGAGAACGCGGCCACCGGCGGCGCCTCCGCGGTGACGCGAGGGTCTGCGCGGCTAAGACATCGTGAGGGACGGCTCGCGCTCGCCCCTGTTGTGGACAAAATCATTGCCGCCGAACCGCCGTCTGCCTCGGCCTCGGCGCGCCCGGTGTCGAGCGCTCGGCGCGTACAAACTCGCCCTCGACAAGGAACGCGGCTAATTGAAGTCGCCGTCGCAACATCTCGAGCTCTCGAAGGCTTCTCCGATCGCACCGCACTAGAACCAGAATGGGTAAGAAGAGTCGACGAGTTCGTCTGGGCGGCCCGGCCAAGGACGCCGCCAATTCTTCTCCGCCGGACACGGGCGCGACCTCGAAGGGGTCTGCTCAGTCGAACGACGCCGCGGACACGGGGGCGGCCTCGACGACCTCGAAGCTGTGCGCGGTCTGCGGGAAACCCGGCGTTTCGTCGTGCTCGGCGTGTCGTCGCGAGTTCTACTGTGGTCCCACGTGTCAGCGATCGCACTGGTCTGAGCACAAACGCGAGTGCACGGGGCGGTGCAAGCTACGCTACACAGGCAAGATTACCGATGGGTACGAAGACACGAAGCGAGAAACTGAGTTCGAATTCAAGGAAGCTATCCAGAGCAAAAAGTTGGCTCGCGACTGGACTGATATTCGCAAGGGTAGCCCGATGATTGCGGGGGTTATCGACAAGTATGCTGGGGCGAAGTTTGCTCTGCGAGACGATTGGCGTTGCATGTGCTGCGCCGAACCTGCCGTGCGAATCGTGTCGAGAGTGGACTTGACGATCGCGACTCACGTCCCCGAGGGCCCCGGTGGCATCGGATTGATGGCCGTCATGGATAAAGCCGTATGCAACAAACCAGAGTGTGGCGCTTGGGTAAAGGTGTTATGCGACATGGTAGCCGAAGAAATGAGGGACCATGTGGCAGACGCAAAGGACGAACGGATTCGCACACTATAGAGTAAGAATCCCCCTCGAGCCGACCTCGAGCCTCGGCGACTGGCGCGCGCGCCCACCGAGAGCCAACGGCGGGATGCTTAGGTGAGGTAATTTCGACGGGGCGGCGGGGGTGTCGGGGGGGGCGCGGGCCCCGCTCACGCGGAGACGGAGACGCCGAAGTCGACCTTCATGGTCTTGACGCGCTCGTTGAGCTCGTCCATGGACGCGTCCTCGGCGTCGTACTCGAGCCACTCGAGCATGTTCTCGAGCGTCGCCTTCTTGGCGTCGTCCTTGCAGGCGGCCTTGGCGGCGAAGGCGGCCTCCTCGAGCGCGTTGCGGAGCCCGGCCTTGTCCGCGAAGGCCGCGTCGTCCTCGCGGTACTTCTTGGCGTCCTCGATCATGCGCTGGATGTCCTCCTCCTCGAGGCGGCCGCGGTCCGCCTTGATCTGGGTGGACGCGGACGCGCCCGTGACCTTGTCGCGCGCGCTGACCGCGAGGATGCCGTTCGCGTCGAGCGCGAAGGTGACCTCGACCTTGGGCTCGCCCTTGCGCGCGCGCTCGATGCCGTCGATCTTGAACTCGCCGAGCTTGTTGTTGGCGGACACGGCCGGGCGCTCGCCCTCGTAGACGGCGACGTCGATGGCCGTCTGGTAGTCGTCGCACGTCGTGTACTCGCGCGTCTTCGCGCAGGGGATGGGCGTCGACCGCTTGATGAGCGTCGACATGACGCCGCCCTCGAGCTCGATGCCCAACGACAGGGGCGTCACGTCGAGGAGCACGAGGTCCTTGCAGCCCTCGGGCGCCAAATCCTCGCCGCCGTGCGTCATGCCCGCGCGGAGGATCGCGCCCTGGACCGCCGCGCCGACGGCGACGGCCTCGTCGGGGTGCACGGACTTGCACAACTCCAACTTCTCGTCGAAGAGCTGGTAGAGCGCCTCCTGGAGCCGGGGCACGCGCGTCGACCCGCCGACGAGGACGATCTCCGTGATCTGCGAGAGCTCGCACTGCGCGTCGCGGACGACGGACTCGACCGTGCGCAGGCAGGACTCGAAGAGGTGGCCGCAGAGGCCCTCGAAGGCCTGGCGCGTGACCTTGACGCAGAGGTCGACGTCCGGGAGGATCGACGGCGCGTCGACGACGGCGTCGTCCGCGCTCGACAGCTCGCGCTTCGCGACCTCGCAGGCGGCCGCGAGGCGGCGCATGGCCTTGGACGACTTGCGGAGCTCGGCGGCGTACTTGGTCTCCTCGGCCTTCTTCTTCTTCTCCGCGGCGGACGACCCCTTCTGGTTCTTGTGGCCGTTGTTCTTCTTCTTCTCCTTGACGTTCGTGCCCGCGCGCTTCCGCGCGTACTGCATGACGACGTGCTCCACCAAGGCCGCGTCGAAGTCCTCGCCGCCGAGGTGCGTGTCGCCGCCCGTGGCCTGCACCGCGAAGACGCCGTCCTCCATGGACAGCACGGACACGTCGAACGTGCCGCCGCCGAGGTCGAAGATGAGCACGCGCGACTGCTTCGGGTTGTTCTCGTCGGAAGCGAGGTCGTGGAGGCCGTAGGCCAGCGCCGCCGCCGTGGGCTCGTTGATGATGCGCATGACCTCGAGGCCCGCGATGCGCCCCGCGTCCTTGGTCGCCTGGCGCTGCTGGTCGTTGAAGTGCGCGGGGACCGTGATGACCGCGCGGTTGAGGTCGTCGCGGCCGAGGCGCTTCTTCGCGATGGCGACCATCTCGCCGAGGACCATGGCGCTCACCTCCTCGGGCGCGAAGCGCTTCTTCTCGCCGCGCCACGTGACCTCGACGAGCGGGCGCTTGCCCTTGGGGTGCTCGAGGATGGGGAAGGGCAGGCGCTTCGACTCGTCCTGGACGACGTGGTCCTCGTAGGTGCGGCCGAGGATGCGCTTCACGTCGAAGAGCGTGCCCTTGGCGTTCGCGGCGGACTGCGCCTTGGCCGCGGCGCCGACGACGCGGCCCTCGTCCGTGAAGGACACGTAGGACGGCGTCGTGCGCGCGCCCTCGGCGTTGGCGAGGACCTTGACCTCCTTGGCCTCGTCGTCGAAGACGGCGACGCAGGAGAAGGTCGTGCCGAGGTCGATGCCCAGGACCGGGCCGCCGTCGGTGGAGGTGCCGCCCTCGAAGGATGCCATCGTTCAAGCTACCTGCGGTCGGCGCGCGGTGAGCCGGCGAGGACCGTGCGACGCGAATGCGATGCGGCGATGGCGGACGCTGGACGGCGCGGTGTACTTTGCTGCTGGAGCTATCGACAAAGCACGACGACGCTGGTTTTTGTAATCGCCGTTTTTGTCGAGCGGCGCGCCCGTCCACGATTGTCCACGTCTCAGTGCTGGCGACCCCCGGCCAAAAAAACAGGATCGCCGGCGTTACCCACCGGGCGCGAGCGGCGAGGGACGACGGCGGCGCGCGTCGCCGGTGCCTCACCCCTCCTCGCCGTCGCCCTCAGCCTCGGCGGCCTCGCGCTCCTCGAGCGCGCGGCGCTTGTCGATGGCGAGCGCGGTCGCGGAGTGGTCCTCGCCGGCCGCGTCCCAGATCTTCATGGTGTTGAACTCCTCCATGAGGCGCTTCTGGAGGTCCCGCGCGGAGAAGGCGAGCGTGCGGTTGTTGACGCGGAGGCGGTTGTAGGTGACCTGGACCGTGAGGAGGAAGTTGTTCGTGAGGTCGAACTCGACGACGATCGTCGGCTTGCCGTTGCCCGGCCCCCAGTCCTCCTCCGGGTAGGTGAACTTGACGATCTCGAAGCCGTCGGAGGAGATGCCCCGCTCCTCGTAGGAGATCTTCTTCGTCGAGAGGAGCTCGTAGACCTTGTCGACGAAGATCTTCTTCTCGTAGCGGATGCGGACCGTCGTGAGCCCTTGATTCAGGTAGTTGGTCCACTGGGCGTACTTGTAGACGATGGCGGCGACGGTGATCCAGACGCCGATGGAGATCATGAACCAGATGCCCGGCATGTTCATGTAGGGCAGGAACGTGTCCGCGGCCCACTGCTGGTTCACGACGGACCAGTTGCCCGTGACGCGGTCGAGCACGGAGAAGCCGAGCACGCCCGAGAAGATCACGAGCAAAAACTGCATGGAGATGGCCGTCGTCTCGTTGGCCGCCTGGAGCTCGATCAAACGCTTCGAGTTCGACTCCATGGACCGGTGGAGCGCGAACTGGCGGTCCTCGGCGACGACGCCCGTCATCTCCCGGAGCACCTCCAGGTAGCGGCTCGCGCCGCCGACGTTCTTCTTCAGGTCCGTCGTGCGCCGCAGCAGCTGGGACCGCATGCCCGAGATCTCCAGCCGCTCGTACAAACTCCGGCCCGCCTGCTCCGGCGGCTCCGGCGGGATCTCGATGATGTCCAAAGCCTCGAGCAAATACCCCAAGATCTCCTCGAGCTTGATGATGTCCTCGGCGATCTTGCAGATGCGGTAGCGGATGCGGTTCAGCGCCGTCGGGTCCCGCTGCGAGTTCTCGATGATCGCGTTCGTCTTCTGCATGTCGTCCGTCAGAATCCACAGCCGCGCGAAGTAGTTCTGCATGAAGATGTCGATGGTGATGAACTGGAGGTAGGCGCACAGGAGCGGCTCGTGGTGGCGCGAGTTCGGGCCCGCCACCAGTAAACCGTAGGCGCCGAAGACCAGCGTGTCGTGCTCGGAGATGTCGTACGCGGCCTTCGTGTCGCCGATGACCTGCTTCAGCTCGTTCTCGTACTCGCCCTTGTCCATGTACTCCTCGGCCGTGAGGTGGGGCGTGATCTCGTTGGCGATGATGAGGTTGACCTTGTTCCGGTTCGGCGCGTCGCCGAGGAAGATGAGGTCCAAAAGGTCGCGCTGGTACTGCGAGATGATGGAGTCGACGATGGACGACGAGTCCTGCTGGACGTCGACCAGCAAACGCGCGAGGTGGTCCAGGGAGATGTTGTCCTTGATGCGGTCCATGACGGCCTCGACCTGCATGCCGTAGAAGCACGTGCCCTCGGCGTTGAGCGACACCCCGAAGGTCTCGACCTGGACGACGCCCGAGTCCTCGGAGAAGCGGATCTCCGCCTCGAAGTTGATGTGGTTCGTCAGCGTGTAGTCCAAAATGTCCACGGCCGTCATCTCCGGCGACATCTCCATGGACGTGCCGGACGAGTCCTCGTCGATGGCCGGCGAGATGAAGCCGCCCTGGACGCGCTCCGTCGAGCCCACGTTCGAGTTCAGCTGGACGATCTGGTTCGCGCCGAAGGGGATGTACTCGGCGACGATGATGGACACGGAGTTGAGCGTGATGACCTCGTCGAGCTCGTCGCGGATCGAGTCCGTGTTGACGGCCGACTCGTGCGCGCGGTGCGCGTTGGACAGCGTCGGCCGGCCGCCGTACCGTAGACACTGGGGCACGTAGGCCGAGCTCACGTAGGACACGTCCTCCGTCTCCGTGATCGTCGACTGGCGCTTGTAGCCCGACGCGGACGTCAAATGGTAGTTGGACCCGTCCCACGTCGCCGACAGGAGCTCGCGCGTGCCCTTGGCGTAGACGAACTCGTGCGTCGCCTCCTTCTCCTTTTGGGAGATGCGCTTGACGAGCTCGAGGCCCTTCTCCGAGATCTGGTAGCACGTCACGGGCTTGTAGGACTTCGACGCGATCTGGAGGCCGTTGAGGAGCTCCTCCTCGCGCAGGAACTCGACGTCGCTCTTGCCCTCCTGGGAGATGTTCAAATAGACGCGCCGGTTCTCGATGAGCTCGCTCTGGGGCGCGTAGTCGTAGTCCAGCACGTTCGCGACGATGCCCTCGTAGATGAGCACGAGGAGCGCGGGCTTCCGGATCCACTCGTCCTTGTCGTCGTGGGACTCGGCCTTGTGCGTGTAGAGCGACACGAGGTAGAGCAGCCGGTTCTGGTTCTCCGTCAGCCCCTACGTTGGAAGCGCGGCGGTGAGGCGTCGCGCGCGCGCGCGCGCAAAGGGGGCGCGGGCGGCGCGCCGTGTCCTCCTCCTCCTCCGTTTCGCTCTCGGACTCGCTCCCCTCCGAGTCGGGCTCCTCGTCGTTGGGGTCGTCGGCCATGGCGCGGGACGGCGGCGCGACGTCGGCCGGCGACCAACGACCGCGCTGCTGCGGGGCAGCTCGTAGTCGGTCCGGTTGCTTGCGCTAAACCGGGGTTCAACGATTGGATACCTGAATTGTTACCTTCTTCAAGCCAGCCTCGATCGCTTCCGCCAAGTGCCGCGCCGGCGCCGTCGCCTGCGCCTCCGCTGACTCCGCAGCACTCCGCACGCGCGCTCCGCAGCGCGCCGCAGCGCGCACCATGGGCATGTTCGAGCCCGCCGAGGGGATTAACTACAACTTCATCCTCGGCATGTACCTCTTCTTCCTGTCGCTGGGCTCGCTCTTCCTCGCGCTCGAGTTCGCCTTCAAGGTCGAGGCCGTCCAGGGCTTCTACCTCATCTTCGCCCCCTTCGTGCCCGCGCTCCTCTGGCACGCGGCGCCGCGTCTCCTTCTTTTCGCCGCGCGGCCGCGCGGCCGACCGCCTCGACCGCCCCGCAGGTGCTTCGTCGTCCGACAACGATGGCTCGCGGCGGGCGGCGACAAGGAGAAGGAGGCCTAGCGCGCTCGCCGCGCGCGTCGTAAGGGCGCGTCTCCCGCCGACCGCGGATCGGGGACCGGGGGGGGCGGCGGGGAACGCGAGCGCCAGCCAACGCCGCCGCTCGTCCGATCCGGCGCCGATAGACGGCGTCGACGCGAAGACGCCGCAGAGCGCAACACCTTACGCCGTCACGCGGCGGCCTTGACGTAGTTCGCCGGGAAGACGCCCCGCTTCCCGTCGGCGTCGCCCGTCCACCAGCCGTCGTCGGACGCGTCGACGACGGTGATCAGGGCCCCGGCGGCGAAGGAGAGCTCGCCGTCGTCGTCGCCGACGCAGTCGAAGAGCGCGACGACGACGCGGTTCGGCGCGTCCGGCGGCGTCGGCGGCGCGCCCGAGGGCCCCCGCGAGAGCCGGACGGACTTGGCCGGCGCGCGCTCGAGGGGCGCGACGTAGTTCGAGGGGAAGACGCCGGAGGCGCCGTCGTCCGTGGTGCCCTTCCACCAGCCCGCGTCGGACGCGTCCGTGACCGTCACGACGTCGCCCTTGGCCAGCGCGAGCTCGCCGTCCTCGTCGGCCGCGCAGTCGAAGAGCGCGACGACGCGAAAGCCCGCGCCGGGGGCCGGCGCGTCCGCGAAGGCGCGCGCGTTTTCGAAGCGGCCCGACGCGACGAAGCGCCGCGACGACTTGACGGGCAGTCGGCTCTGGCGCTCGTAGTCCGCCGCCGTCGGCGGCGCCCGCGGCGGCGCCGGCGGCGGCCGCGGCTGCGCGCCGGCGATGGCCGAGCCGCCGGGCACCGCGTCGCCGAGGAGCGCGTGGCGCGCCTTCGGCGACTCCGCGTCTCCCAGGATCGCCGCGCGCGCCTGGTCCGCCTGGAGGCGCCGCCGGTCCTCGAGGTCCGCGGCCTCGCGCTTCAGGTCCGCGAGCTCCCGCTTGCCCGTGAGCACGGCGAGCGCGCGGCCCGCCGCGCTCCGCGCCTCCGGCGCGATCGCGGGCCCGCCGACCTTCACGCAGTCGCGCGTCGCGCCGCGGGCCTTGGCGACGGCGCCCGCGGGCAGCGCGTCGCAGGCCTCGCCGACGTAGCCCGCGGCGGCGGCGACGAGCTCCGCGTGGACCGCGGCGACGCAGCACGCGACGTCCTCGACGAGCTCGCGGTACGCGTCGAGCGCGGCGGCGATCGCGTCGAGCGCGGCGCGCCGCGCGAGGTCGTAGTCGGCCCTGGCGCGGTCCAGCGCGTCCGGCGCGTCCTTGGGCGGGCCACGCTTGAGGAAGTGGGCGTAGTCCGCGCGCCGCGCGTCGTAGGACGCGAGCGCGCCGGTGACGGTCCGTTTCGTCGCCGTCGCGAGCGTCCGCAGCGGGTCGAGGCAGCACTCGACGAGCACGCCCGCGGCGGAGCGCCGCACGACGGCGTTGAGGTAGGCCCAGCGCTCGCGCGCGAGCCGCGTGCCCGCCTCGACGGCCGCGAGGTCGGGACTCCGCCGCTCGGCCGCGAGGCCCGTCGCGGCCCAGGCGCCGCGCCGGTCGAGGTCGCCCCCGCCCCAGTAGCTCGCGACGACCTCGGCGAGCGCCTCGCTGTTGGCGAAGTAGGCCCGCAGGACGGCGACGTGCTCCGCGAGGCCCGCGCCGAGCTCGTCGACGCCGCCGAGCATGTCGGCGAACTCGGCCCGCCGCGCCTCCATCTCGCCGTCGACGACCTCGGGCGGCACGCGCTTCCCAAAGGCCGTCCGCCCGAAGAGGCTCAGGCGACGCCGCAGCGTCTTCACGTTCTCGACGAGGCCCCGCTTGTCCGACGCCGCCATTGCTGGGCTTTGGATGGCTGCCCTTTCGGGGTAACCAGTGGCTCTTGAAGTAATTACTATTGTAAGCGCGCAATGGACACCGAAACTGCGGCGCCCGACCCGGCGCTCGATGCCGCCGCAGCGCCGGCCGACGCCGCCGACGCACCGGACGCCGCGGACGCACCGGACGCGTCGGACGCATCGGACGCATCGGACGCGCCGACAGCCGACGCACCCGACGCCGCCGACGCACCCGACGCCGCCGACGCGCCCGCCGATGCACCGGACGCGGCGGACGCGTCGGACGCGTCGGACGCGGGCGGCTGGGTCGTCGCCGGCGGCCGCGGCGCCTTGGTGCGCGCCTCCGCCGCCGCGGACTCGGCGCGCGTCGGCGTGCTGCCGCCGGAGACGCGCTGCGTCGCCGAGGACGCCGCGGCCGGCGACGGCGGCAAGGTCCGCGTGCGGCTCTCGTCGCCGCTCGCGGGCTGGGTGAGCCTGAAGCTCCTGCGGTGCGCGGCGCCGCCGGCGGCGCCCGCGCGGACCGTCGACAGCGCGCTCGTCACCCTCGACTGGTTCGGCAAGGACTACAGCGGCCGCTTCGCGTCCGCGAAGAGGAACGCGCTGCCCAAGAAAACGAAGATCTACGCCGTCGGCTTCGCCCAGGACTACGACGCGGGCGTTACGGCGGAGCTCGGCGAGGACGGCTGGCGCGCCATGACCTTCCCGGCGCCCTACCTGGCGCCGACGAACTGGCGCGAGTTGCCCGGCCGCGTCGGCGAGCTCGTATCGCTGAGCGACGACCACACGACGGTGCTCGCGGGCGGCGCGGACTGGGAAATAGCCGTCCACCCGGCGGCTTTAGTCGCGCGCGCGGGCCCCAGCGGGCCGGCCTTCGGGTCCTACGACGACGCGGACGGCAAGCGGACGCCGGCGCAGAAGCGCGCGGCGGACGAGAAGGCGTTCCCGTCGTCCTGCGGCTCCTGCGGCTCCTCCGACGTGACGCGCGTCCTCTTCGCCGCCATCTGCAGCCAGCACAGCTCCTACTCCATGAGCCACTACCAGTGGGTCGTCGAGTACGAGGTCCACTGCCTCACGTGCGAGCTCGCGGGCCGCCGGCCGTACACGACGCGGACGAACCACACGTCCCACGCCATGCCCGCGGCCCAGGGCTACATCGCGCGCGAGGCCGAGGTGCGGGGCGAGGCCCGGTAATACCATATCCCGCCGGGATACACGCCGCTTCAATTTGGGCTTCAACTTACTCGCGGCCCTTGGGCGGCGAGATGACGCCGGGGAAGGGCGAAAAGCCCGCGGGCAGCGGCCGGTCGCTCGGGTCGCTGAAGAGGGACGTCTGGTAGAGCACGGGCTGGGCCCGCTCGGCCAGATTGGCGTTCTCGGCGGCCAGCGCCGCGCAGCGCGCCGCGGAGGCCTCGAGCTCGGCCTTGGCCTTCTCGAGGCGCGCGCACTGCGCGACGTGCTCGTCGATCAGGACGTCGGCCGCGCGCTCGCGGACGTCCGCGGCGCGCTCGCGCTCCGCGGCGCGCGTGCCCGCGTCGGCCAAAGCCGCGGCGAGGGCCTCGCGCTCCGCGTCGAAGCGCGCCGCGTCGGCCTCGCGCGCGTCGCGCTCCGCCGCGAGGGCCTCGAGCGCGGCCGCGAGCGCCGACCGGTCGCGCGCCGCGTCGGCCTCGGCGGCCGCGAGCGCCGCGCGGAGCTCGGCGGTCTCGAAGGACGCCTTCGTCGGCGTCTTCGCCGTCGCCGCGTCCTTGCACGCGCGCGGCGACCGCCGCGCCGCGACGACCGCGGCGACGACCGCCAACACCCCCGCGGCGGCCGCCGCGGCGAGCTTCGGGCCCGCGCCGCCGCCGCGCGCGCCGCGCTCCGCCGGCGGCGCCGCGACGCCGAGGACCAGAACCTCCGGCGGCGCCGCGACGCCGAGGTTGCGGAGCGCCGCGGCCGCGACGACGGCGCCCGCGTCGTCGCCGTCGTCGAGCAGACCCTCGAGGGGCCCCCGGGCGTCGTGGTTGAGCATGAGGGCCTCGCGCAGGGCCACGTCGGCGGACAACGCGTAGAGCGCCGTCGCCGCCTCGCGCTTCGCGTCCGGCGTGCCCTCGCGGAGCACGCGGACTAGGGACGCGAGCGGCGGGTCCCGCAGGCCCTCGCCGCCGGGGCCGACGGCCTGCAGGAGCGCCGCGAGCGCGCCGACGGCGCGCGCCTCCGTCGCGCCGTCGCGGCGCCCGTCGAGCGCGGCGCCCAGCGCCGCGCCGGCGCCGTGGTCGACGAACTCGCGTGCGATGTCCGCGTCCGCCGCCGCGAGGACCGCGACGGCCTCGGCCGCGGCGCCCGCGGCGACGCGGCTCCGCAGCAGGTCCACGAGCGGCTCCGCGGCCCCGGCGCGCGCGATGGCTAGGGCCATGCGGTGGTCCGCGTGGTCGCCGGCGAGCTTCGCGAGCGTCCAGGCCGCGTTGCGCGCCTTCGTCCCGTTGCCGGGGTTCGCCGCGACGGCCTTCACGAGGGGCCCGACGACGGCCCCGCGCGCGACGACGACGAGCGTCGTCAGCAGGCCCGCCGCGGCCTCGCGGCAGGACGCCTCGGGCACGGCCAGCAGCTCCACGGACGGCGCGATGGCGCCCGCGCGGACGACGGCGATGCGGTCCGCGTCCGTCTGAGAGAGGTCGATGAGCGCGCCCGCGGCGGCCTCGCGCGCGCCGGGCCCGCCGCCGCCGAGGAGGCGCACGAGGGGCTCGAGGGCGCCGCTCCGCATGATCGACTGGACGTTCTCCGGGCACTCGTAGGCCAGGTCCATGAGCTGCCGCGCGGCCCGCTCGCTCGCGTCCGCGTCGTGGTCGTCGCGGAGGAGCGTGCTCACGCTCGTGTCGATGAGCTCCGCCGCGCTCGTCGACCCGCGCCCGACGATGAACCTGCTCAACAGCACCACGAACCAGGAGACGCGCATATCGCCACGCGGAAAGAGGACGAAACAGGAGAGCGCGCGAGGCTGCCCGCAAGGCTCTCGTGGATACGTTTGCCTCACTTTGAGTACTTCATGCAAAGCTCGACCCCTGGGCTCGACCGTGTCAGCAGCGCTTCCGCCCGCGCCAGGGCCAGCGCGTCGGCGCCGCTGCGCGCCATGATCTACCGAATACTCAAACGCGTGCCCGGCGGCGAGCAAACGAAGGTCTTCGTCGGCGTGTGCCTCGTGCTCGGCATCGGTGCGTCGCCAGCGCCGGAGAGCGCGGGCGCGCCGCCCGCGCGCGCGCGCGACGAGCGCATGGCTGCGCGCGCGCGCGCGCGAGAGAGACGGGCAACGCGCGCGACGACGGCCCGCGCGGGCGCGCGCGACCGACGGGCCGCGCGCGCGCGCGACGGTTCGACGGGCCGACCGCGTCGCGCGACGGTTCGACGCCGCGCGACGCCGCGCCCGCCAGGCATGGCGCCCGTCGCGTACAAGAAGACGAAGCGGGGCCACGACTACTTCTCGTCGGAGAAGCCCGAGGAGGTCGAGCAGGGCATGGCCGAGAAGGAGAAGGCCAAGTACGAGGCCATCGTCGCGAAGAACACGTCGAAGCCGTAACGCCTAGCGCCGTCGTCGCGCCGCGGGCGCGGGGCAGGCGGCGAGGGCCGCGCCGAGGGCCGCCGCGTCCGCGGCGCCGCGGCGCCGCGCGGCGCGGTCGTGCGCGCGGCGCGCGCGGTCGAACCGCTGCGCCGCGAGGTCGTAGAGCTCGACGTCCGTCGGCGAGACGTCGTGGCGCCAGAGCCGCTCCTGGCGGTCGCGCGTCTGGTTCTGCGCCGCCGTGCGGTGCGCGCGCGACGGCTCCGGGTGGGACCGGAGCGTCTCGAACGCGAAGTCGCAGATCGGCGCGGCGCCCGCGAAGTAGGGCGCGTAGAGCAGCACGAGCAACGACGCCGCGAGGTCCTCGAGCACGAGGAGCGCGTCGTAGTAGTCGACGACGGCCCGCGCCGTCGCGAGGCGGCCCCCGACGTTGAGGTAGCGGAACGCGCCGTCGCGGAGGAGCGCGCAGCGCTCGCTGAGGACGACGAGCTCGTCGGCGTCGGCGACGTCGCCGTTGCTGTGCGTCACGAGCCACGTGTCCTCGTCGAAGGAGAGGCCGCAGAAGCTCTCGCGGTTCCGCACGACCGACCGCGCGCGCGCGACGGGCTCGCGCGCGACGGACACGAGGAGGCTCCGCGCCAGCGTCGGGAAGGCCTCGAGGAGCCAGGGCCCGAGCTCGAGGTGGCGCACGTTGCACCGGTAGCCGCCCGGCGGCTCGTGCGCGCGGTAGACGTCCGCGTAGGACGGCGCGAGGCCCGCGCGGTCGTCCGGGTGGTCCGCGATGCGGCTGCAGTTGAAGCGGTCGCAGAGGCGGCCGACGACGGCGCGGGTCGTCGACGAGCCCGTCTTCGGCACGCGCACGAACAGGAGGCCGTCCGCCGGCGCGAAGGCCGCGCGCCGCGCCAGCGCCGCGGCGACCGTGCCGTTCCAGGCCCCGGCGCTCGCGTTGTCGTACGCGCGCGCCGCCGCCGCGATCAGGAGCGCGCAGCGCAGCATCGCGGAACGCCGTCTCGTCGACTTCTCGAGTGCGAACTCACCATCAGATTAGCATCTCTCGAGACGGGCTGCCTGACCGCCCATCGTCAAAAAAAATAGGGACGCCTCAAGAACAGATTCAAGAAGGGTGCAACGAGGAGCTAAAACGGCTATATTATCAGAGACCCACGCGCTCCCGCCGCCGATTGCCGTCGTCGTTCTTCTCGACGCGACGCGTTCGTTTGCCGCCGACGCTTTCCTCCAGCGACGCGGAGCGCGTCGTCCGGCCGGACGAGTCGGTCGAGCTCCTCATGGTTTTTGTGACGGTCTTGCCGCCGGCGCTGGTCATCGTCGAGGAGGAAAACGAGAAGGTCGAGGACCCGCCCATGCCGCCGAAGCCGCCGCCGCCCATGCCGCCGAACGCCGCGCCGAACATGGACGCGAAGGGATCCGCGCCGCCGCCGCCGAAGCCGCCGTCGCCGGCGGCGTCCATGCGCTCGAAGATCTTCTCGAAGTCCGCGAAGGGGTCGCTCGTGCCGAAGAAGTCCTTGAATATGTCGTCGGCGTTCCGGAAGCCGCCGCCGAACGGGCCGCCGCGCCCGCCGCGCCCGCCGCCGCCGAAGCCCGGGATGCCGCCGACGGAGTCGTACTGGCGCCGCTGCTCGTCGTCGGAGAGCACCTCGTAGGCCTCGGCGACCTCGCGGAACTTCTGCTCCGCGGCCGCGCGGTCGTCCGGGTTCTTATCCGGGTGCCACTTGAGCGCGAGCGTCCGGTAGGCCGCCTTGACCTCCTTTTTGGTCGCCTTCTTGTCGATGCCGAGTGTTTTGTAGTAGTCGGAAGCCGCGGCGACGACAGCGAGCAGCGCTAGCAGGACGCGCATCGTTCAGCAACGACGAGGCTGGCGTCGGTCCACCGTCGACTCGACACGAGCGCGCGGCGGCCAAGAGCTTTTTTACCACAAGGTTCAAAATAAAAGTCAACTACACAGCAAAAGAGCAGCATCCTTCTCTCGTGTAGTTTGGCCGGTGCCAGCGGCGGTGTCGGCGGCCGCGGCCCGCGCGGGCTGCCGGGCTGCCCGCCCGTTCGGCCCGCGGCGGCGGCGCCGGCGGGTCGCGCCTTCGTTGAACCGCCGCCATGGCGTACCAGAAGAAGCTCAAGCTCGAGGTGCGGCGCGAGCTCATCGAGGAGGAGCCGTCGAAGGAGCCGACGCTCCAGGAGCAGTTGCTGAGCCACTGCGTGAAGATCAACGGGTCCTGGCGCTACCAGGTGGACGTGAAGCAGACGGGCGAGGCCTTCGACAAGAAGAAGAAGCAGAAGAGGAAGAAGAAGCGCGGCGGCGGCCCGGACCGCGGCGCGATCCGCGAGGAGCTCGAGGCCGCGGGCGCGGACGACAAGTTCCTGGGCCAGGCGCTGAAGAAGAAGCGGCGGAAGAAGGACGCGGGCAAGAGCGCCGTCGATCTGCTCGTGGAGGCGTCCGAGGAGCTCAGCTACGATCCGGACAACGAGTCGGCGATGACCGAGGACTTGAGGCCCGGCGAGTCGCTCGTCGCCGCGCGGTTCCACCCGGACTACGCGCCGTTCATCCGCCTCGCGGCCGTGGGCGACCGATTCTTAAAGGAGGACCTCACGAAGATCATGGACAAGGAGGGCTACGACTCGGGCACGCTCTCGCGGCCCGGGAAGCTCGTCGTCCTCGAGGCGCGGCTCGTCAAGAAGCAGAAAAAGGCCCAGGAGGCCCAGGAGGAAGAGGAGACGCCCGCCGAGGCCGAGGCGGCGCGGAAGAAGATGGCCCAGGTCACGCACCGCGTCCCGCCGGCCGTCAAGCTCGACCCGTCGCTGTCGCTGCAGGACAAGCAGATCCAGATGCTCCGGCTCGCGGACAAGGTCATCTGCTCCTACAAGAAGCTCGAGCACTTCATCGGCATCGACAAGGTCGGGTCGCCGGACGTGGGCTACTCCATGGACATCGACGACGGCACGGTCGTCAAGGGCATCCGCGCGGTGCTCTTCGGCCAGGAACTTCCCGACGAGGACTCGAACGTCGTGTCGCTGCACACGGAGGAGGAGCTCATGGAGCTCGAGGCGGAGCGCCACGAGGAGAAGATGGCCCAGGGGGGGCACCGCGTCGACTTTGTGAACGGGTCCAACACCTACAAGGTGGAGCGGGTGCTCTGCTACTTCCAGATGCTGGGATTTTTGTCGACGCTCGACCTGCCCTGGACGCCGCAGCTCCGCGACCAGCTGAACACGTTCCGCGTGTTCCTGGACGGCCACCTGCGGCCGCTGACGCACGCGCACAAGTTGTTGTATGAAAACACGTACTTTGGCCTGGACAAGCCGCTGTCGCTCGTCGATCTGTATTTTTATCGCGACGTCACGAAGTACTTCTACAGCATCGCGCTGAGCCTGATCCTGGTCGTGGCCCTGTTCTACCTCTGGGGCATCCACGACTACACGGACCCGAAGTTCACGAACCGCTGGCTCGACCTCCACATCGAGCACTGGTGGACGCGCGGCATCCCGCTGTCGATCCTCTACGTCGCGGTCATCGGCGGCGTCCTGGTCGTCGGCCCGGCGGGGATCATGAAGTACTCCTACGGGCGGTCGGGCAGCGACAAGCAGGCGAACGCGATCCTCGTCTGCGGCGGCTCGCTCGCGGCGTATCTGTGGATCGCGTACGTCGTGCTCACGAGCTGCTGGCGCAAGTACTTCCGGTCCAAGGTCAAGCACTCCAAGGCCTACGCGTCCATCGTGCTGCTGAAGGAGACGGTCAAGTCCAAGGTGACCTTCGTCTTCTGCGCGCTCTTCTACTGCTACATGCCCACGTGCCTCTACGTCGTCGGCGGCGTGATTCCCATCTATTCCATCGAGGTCTGGGACAGGGCAGGAAAGGGGTGATTCAAGTTCGCTTCAACTTGAGTGTTCCGTGCGCGCGCGTTCCGGAAAAAGCATCCACGCGTCGAGAGCGCTCCGAGGGATGATCGCTCGTCCCAAAATCAGCCGAAACGAGTGGAAAATGACCGAGATAGGAGCCTCCAAAGTTGGGAATTTCGCACCCTTTTCCTGCCCAGGTCTGGGAGCAGCACGGCGCCGACTCGCCTTCCGAGCCCCTGCCGTCGGCCTACCGCCACGTGTCCTGCTACTGGCTGAGCTTCCCGCCGGCGATTCGGGAGCGGAAGATGAACCGCGCGCGGTCGGGGAGGCCGCTGCCGATGGGCTTCTCGGACTACGAGCCCGTGCCGCACCGGCCCCACGACGCCATCCGGCGCGTGGAGTGCTTCGACGTGGGCGGGGTGCTCATGTTCACGAATAGCGTGCTCTGGTGCCTGCTCTACCTCGTGGGGTTCCCCGTGATGATCTACTATCTGATCGGCATCGCCCTGTGCCGGAAACAACCGCCGGTTCGGGACGTCCCGACCAAACTTTGACATTCTCGAGCTCGGTCACATCGAAGTCGTTTTGGCTGATTTTTGGACGAATCGAGTGTTCTCGTCGTGTTCTCGAAGCACGGCCGAAGAACTCGAAACCGTCGCATGCGCCCACATTGAAGTCGGGTTGCAGATTTGATTTCCACGCAGGCATCGCGGAGACGCAGCTCCACGCGTGCGAGTGGTGGTCCAACTACATGACGGCCTGGCGGCGCTTCAATTTGGTGCTGCGCGAGTGCGAGGCCTGGGACCTGGGCATGATCTTCAGTCAGACCTTCGAGGTCTGGAAGGAGCAGGTCGTCGTCGACGCGAAGCAGGCGCGGCGCGACGCGAAGCGCGCGTTCGTCAGATTCTGGAAGCGCCAGGGCCGGCGCCTCTGCCGCCTGATCTGCTTCCCCTGCTTGTGTTTGCTCCGCCTCTGCCGGGGGTCCGAGGAGTCGAGGAGGCGCAAGCGCAAGTACCTGTCCATGGCCGAGGCGGGCGACGAGCCGCACCGGAAGGCGAGAGTGCTGGACGACCAGCCCCAGAACTTTTGGGCCCACGAGGAGTCCAAGGACGAGCAGTCCACGGGCAGCACGCTGACGTCGGGCTCCGCGGCGTCGCGGACCAAGCGCGGCAGCCGCGGGTCCAAGGGCGACGCGCCGAGGCGGAGTCGTCTGTCGCGGCTCAAGAAGGGTCTCGTCTTTTGCGTGACGCTGCGCTGGCTGCCGGGGTTGTGCCGGTGCCTCTGCCGCTGCCTGCTGACGTGCGGGAAATTCCTCTACGCCAAGTGCCGGGGCAAGGCCTACGGGCGGACCCACGTCGTCGCCGTCGACGCGGACGGCGAGGAGGTGAAGGACGACGGCGACGACGGCGCGGTGACGCTGGACCCGGATCTAGACGATGGCAAGCCGAAGATGCTGCTGGAGATTCCCGACGACGACTTCGTGATCCCGACGCGGGGCGTGCGCGGCTTCTGCTACCGGCTGCAGATGCACCCCGTCTTCGAGAACTTGATCACGCTCGCGGTATTGGTGTCGCTCACGCCGATCATCCCGTCGGTCAAGGCCGACATGCAGGACCTGCTCGGGCGCCACCCCATCGAGGGCGACGACGACGAGGCGGAGACGTCCTGCTTCCGCATGAACTGCATGTACTACGTCCTCATCGAGTGGATCTGCGGGCCCGTCTTCGTCCTCGAGGTCGTCGTGAAGATGACCGCGTTCCTCCCCAAGGACTACTTCAAGGACTGGTTCAACCGCCTCGACTTCTTTTTGATGCTGCTGTGGATCATGGACGTGGGCCTCGGCAGCGGCACGAATCTGAGCTTCTTGAAGTCGCTCAAGGCGCTGAAATCGCTGAAATCGATGAAGGCGCTCAAGTCGCTCAAGACGCTCAAGGTGCTGCGGCTGCTCAAGTTCGGCAAGTACATCGACCCCCTCTTCCGCGCCTTCAAGCGCTGGCTCCTGCGGTGGATCGCCGACACTCGCCTCGCGTCCGAGGTCCACCTCCAGAAGGGCCAGGGCGCGCAGTCGGACTGGCGCGCGAAGCGGTCGCTGCCCGCGAAGCTCGAGATGCTCAAGAAGGGCTTCCAGCACGCGAAGCGCGAGTACGCCGTGAGCTTCGAGGAGTTCGAGCGCGACCACGAGCTCGAGATCACGAACTTCGAGGCCATCGTCGACACGGCCGCGCTCGGATACCTCATCGCGCAGTTCAAGCCGAACGCGTCGATCTGGCGGCTCGTGCTCATCGCGGAGACGCTCATCTTTTGTATTTTGGTGACGTGGCTCAAGGCGACGCAGCAGCCCTGGGTCATCTGCGTCGCCGGGGCCCTCGTGCGCTTCGTCTTCGGGCTCTGGACGTTCCTGAAGCGGCCGTACATGTTCACGCGCGAGGGCCAGGTCGACTCGCTGACGCGGCAGACGACGATCTTCCTGCTGGTGCTCGGCGCGCTGCTGGACCTCACGCGGGACCCGGGCTTCGGCATGGAGATGGAGGCGGACCAGGCGGAGAAGCTCCGCTACTACGTCGACATCATCGGCGCGGCGCTGCTCTACGGGACGATCCTGCGCATCCTCTTCCTGCTGCGCGCGCACGAGATGGCCCACGACGCCGTCGTCGCCGCGATCCGCTACTGCGACGAGCAGGTGCTGACGCTCATCATCGGCCTCATCGACGTCAAGTGCTACGCGTTCGAGGACTGCAACCTCGGGCTCCAGGTGCTCCGCCAGTGGGACGTGCTCATCGACCGCCAGCAGGCGACGAAGTTGCGGGCCTGGCCGTCGCCGAACCCGTCGAACCTGCTGACGCTGTACCAGAAGGGCGTCCTCGTGAAGTGGGCCGCCGCGCGCGACCTGCGGATCTCGACGTTCCGGACGCCCACGGGCCAGTGCATCCTCCACAGCGCCATGCTCAAGGGCGAGCCGGAGATCGTCGCCTGGATCCTCTACCACCACCCGGAGCTGCTGACGGTCTGCGACGACCAGCGCGACTCGCCCGTCGTCATCGCGCTCAAGGAGCTCGCGTTCACTTTGTTAAAACACCAGAAGAAGCCGACGGAGGCGACGGCCTGGAAGCGCGCCAAGCTCGCGGAGATCCTGCTGAGCGACCAGATCCAGTGCTACCGCGTGCCCTGGAGCCTGCCCCACTTCCGCGCGCTCGGCGACATCGCCGTGCCGCTCCTGGGAGAGCTCGTGCAGCAGCTCGCGCTGGCCCTCAACCTCCAGCCGCCGGCGGGCTTCGTGCGCATCTCCAAGTGGAGCCGCTACCCCGGCGACATCCCCGACTTTCTCGCCGAGTGCTACATCGCCTGCCGCGACGTCGTCGACACGCCGCGGTCCGAGCTCGGCGACGTCCAGGGCAGGCAAAGAGTGCGAAATTCCCAACTTCAAAGGCTCCTATCTCGGCCGTTTCCCACTCGTTTCGGCTGATTTCTGGACGAGCGATCATCTCTCGGAACGGCCTCGAAGCGTGGATTTTTTTTGGGGGCGCGCGCGCGCGAAACGCTCACGTTGAAGAGAAATTGAATCTCTCTTTTCCTGCCCAGGCGACATCGGCGCGCGGACCTTCGAGGCCCTCACGGCGGCCCTCGAGATGCCCCAGACGACGATCACGATCCCGTCGAACTTCTTCCAGTCCTACCCCATCTACATCGTGCGCATCGACGCGCGCATGAACCGCCTCGACGGCAAGATGGGCCAGTTCGCCGCGCGCGCCATCGCCGCGAACAAGACGCTCACGTACCTGGACCTGCGCTACAACAACATCGACGACGACGGCGGCGTCGCTCTGGCCAAAGCGTTGAAGAAGAACGAGTCGCTGACGCTCGTGTCCCTCGCGCAGAATCGGCTGGGCCCGAACGCGGGCGACGCGCTCGGGTCGATGATGCGGCGGAACATCACGATCCGCACGTTGAACTTGGCGGACAACCAGCTCGGCCCCTGCCTCTCCTACAGCAACGAGTACACGCGCGACTTCCTGCCGTCGTCGGGCCCGAAGATCTGCCACGCGCTCCGCGTCAACGGCACGATCACCGCGCTCGACGTGTCGAACAACCGCCTCGGCGCCGACGCCGCGCAGGCGCTCGACCAGTCGTTCCGGCGGAACCCGCAGTCGGCGCTGCGGACCTTGGGCTTCGCGGGCAACGAGCTCCGCGCCGACGGCGGGAAGCACCTGGCCCACGCGCTGCGGAGCCGCGTGCAGCTCACGCACCTGGACGCGTCGCGGAATCGCTTTGGCGCGGGCGTCGGCGTCGCGTTCGCCGCGGCCCTCAAGAAGAACCACCACCTCGTGCACCTCGATCTGAAGGAGAACGGCCTGGGCACGAAGAGCGGCCGCGGGTTGGCCCTGGCCCTCCAGGAGAACAAGAGCCTCGCGTCGCTGGATTTGGCCGCGAACGGCTTCGGCCCGGACGTGCTTCGGAGCTTCTCCGCGGCGCTTCTGAAGGCGCCGGGGCTCACCTATCTCAACCTCGCGCGCAACGACCTCGCGCTCAGCTCCCACGAGGGCGGCGAGCCGGAGATGTGCGGCGGCATGCTCGGCACGGCGCTCCAGGGCAACAAGACGCTGACGGCGCTGGACCTCGGCGGCGTCAAATTCGACCCCGAGGAGCTCCTCAGCGCGTTGACGGGCTTCGCGCGGAACGCGGCCTTGCGGGACGTGTCCTTCGCGGGCCAGCCTTTTGATAATGCCAACGCGCTCAACCTGACGAACTGCCTCGAGCAGCACCGCCACCGCGAACGGCGGGTCAAGGGCCGGCCGAACACGTCCGGCGGCAGTCGCCCGAACACGGGCGCGTCGCGGCCGGGCACGGGCAAGAGCGGCAAGGGCGACCTGAAGGCGGGCGCGGACCACGGCCTGGGGCTGGTGGACGTCGTCCAGACGCCGGGGCTGCAGGCCTTCGACGTGTCCGGCTGCTCCGTGGGCCAGCGCGCGGGCCTGTGTGGAAACCAAATCTTCAACCCGACTTCAATGTGAGCGTATTCGAATGTTTTGACACAAGCTCTTTGGCCTGGCTTCGAGAACTCGACGAGAGCAATCGATTCGTCCAAAAATCAGCCGAATCGACTTCGATGTGACCGAGCTAGAGAATTCTCAAGTTTGGTCAGGACCACCCAAACCTGTGGTTGGTTTCCACACAGGCGCGGGCCCCGTCTGCATCGCCGCGCTCGTCGCGCTGCCGCGGCTCACGGCCCTGCGCGTCGGCGGCAACGGCATCGGCGCGAAGCTCGGGGAGCGCGTCGCGGAGATCTTCACGGAGGGCTGCGAACTGGACACGCTCGACGTGTCGGCCAACAGTTTAGGCGAGACGGGCGGCCTCACGATCGCGCGCGCGATGGAGCTCAACGTCACCCTGACGGACGTGGACATGAGCCGCAACGAGCTCAACGAGGAGGTCGGCTCCGCCGTCGCCGACGCGCTCATCGAGCTCGTCGAGAGCGGCTTCGTCGCGCGGCCCGCGCACTGCGTCCGTTTGTGCCTGAGCCACAACCTCATCGGCACGACGGCGGCCTGCGACATCTTCACGGCGCTGCGGAACCCCGTGGCGCGCGACATCGACCTGTCGTTCTGCGGCATCGGCCCCGCGGCGGGCGAGGAGGTCGCGCGGTGCCTGCGACGGAGCACGGTGCAGTGGAGCCGTTTAGATCTGGAGGGCAACGATCTGGGCAAGGACGGCGTCAACCCCATCATGTGGGCGCTGCGCCTCAACTGCACGCTGACGGAGCTGCTGCTGAGCAACAACGGCATCGGCGGCGACTTTGGCACGGACCGCGACCGCCGGGGCCACTACGGCAACTCGCTTCAAGGCGCCGTCGAGTACAACTTCACGCTGAAGCGGTTGGACCTCGCGCACAACGACATCTCCCACGAGTGCGCGACGGGCCTGGCCTACGCCATGGTCGAGAACCCGTCGCTCGTGGCGCTCAACTTCGAGAAGAACCATCTCGACGCGACGGCCGCGGAGGCGCTGAGCGACCGGCTCCGGCGCGACGCGCAGATCCGTTATTTGAATTTACGGAGAAACGATGTGTCCTGGCAGGGCGCGATCCGGCTGGCGAACGCGCTGGAGACGAACTTGGGAATTTTACACCTGGACCTCGGCTTCAACGGCGTCGGCTCGTGCGGGCCAGGGCAGCACAAGGGTGCGAAATTCCCAACTTCAAAGGCTCATATCTCGGCCGTTTTCCACTCGTTTCGGCTGATTTTTGGACGAGCGATCATCTCTCGGAACGGTCTCGAAGCGTGGATGCTTTTTCCGGAACGCGCGCGCGCGGAACACTCACGTTGAAGCGACGTTGAATCACTCTTGTGCTGCCCAGGTGCGGGCCCATCGCGGGCCGCGCGTTGGCGGACATGATCTGCAAGAACGCCATCCTGCGGCATTTAGATCTGGAGGGCAACGACATCGGGCCCGACGCCGGCGCGGCCATCGCCGCGGCGCTCATGCGGAACAACACGCTCCAGTTCATCAACATGATCAACAACCATTTGGAGAACGAGACGGGCGAGGCCTTCCTCAAGGCGCTCCGCGTCAACTCGGGCATCATGGAGTGCCACTTCTCCGTCGAGGAGATCGGCGAGGACCGCCACGGCGACATCCGGGCGCTCATGAAGAAGCGCGCGTCCCTCGACGACAACGCGAACCCGGACATCCCATGCGGCGGCGCGAACCCGACGATCCCGGGCGAGCACCTCCGCGAGGAGCTGCCCATGCGACCGCCGTCCTCCTAAGTGCCCTGTGCTGTGGCCTCGGCGCGAGGAGGAGTCGCCGGTCGCGGACGCCGCTAGTCGCTTACGACGGCGCAGGGCGCGTACGCCGCGGCCTGCCGGTGGGCGGCGGGCGCGGCCTCGGGCCGCCGGGGCGCGGCGACCTCGCGCCGCCGGGGCTCGACGACGACGGCTGCGGGCGTCCGTCCGAGGAACGAGCCCGCGAGCTCGACGTCGCTGCCCTTGACAATGTACGCGCGTTGCTTCTTCGGCGACGGCGGCGGCGCGGCCACGGTCGGCGCCAGGAAGTTCAGATCGAGCAGCGGCGCCGTGCGGCTCGCGGCGCGCGCGCAGGGCTGCCACTCGCGCTGGGCGAGGCGGGCGCCGTTCGCGTTCGCTAGCAGCACGGCAGCCCGCATCTCTTGGTCACGGTCTCTCATAGGGAGCAGCCCGGTGGCCATCGCTGGTTTTCTGCGCGGGGGCGTCTCGATGCCTCGACAGAGGGACTGTGAACGTCGGCGCCGAGACGAATGCGCAATGCTCGTGCCAGAGGAGGAATCCTCGAAAAATGCTCCCCCTTGTTGGGCGGTGACAAGGCGCGCGCGCTGGTAAGGAGGTAAGCTGCCCACAGCAACATGGGTAAAACCAAGATCCACTTGCAGTGGGAATGCTGCGCATATCAAAGAGCGGCTTGGTAAAACGCCCAGCCTCGGAGACGACGACGTCGAGTCGCGCTCCTCGGCGCGCCCGCGTCGCGCCGGCGCGCCCGTGATCGCATAGCCGCGCCGCCGCGCGCCGCCCGCCGCAGCAGACGCGCGCCTCGCGTCGCGCCGGCCCGCGCCGAGCACACGCCGAAACACCGGGCAGCCCACCTCTGAAACCATGCGCGAGCGGCCGACGAACATGTTCCGGTCGACGTGGACGTCGCCGGAGACCTGCGCGGAACGTTCCAGCATCATCCAGCGCGCGGACATGGACCGGCGCATGATGCTCCACGCGCAGCGCCTCGCGTCCATGCGGAGCACGGTCGACACGTCGCCGCCGGACTGCCTGTCGAGCGGGCTGCGGCGCAACGTGAAGCAGGAGCTGCTCCAGCAGGAGCGCCACGACGAGATCATGCGGGACAACCGCACGCTCATCGAGCACCTGGGCCAGATCGGCGCGCGCGAGAACGGCCACCGCCGCGACGCGAGCTTCCGCTACCCCGTGTCGCACAGCGCGGTCGTCCGGAAGCGCGCGGCGAAGCGCATCCACGCCGAGAATTTAGCGCTGATCCAGCGCATGGTCGCGACGAAGTCGTCCTACGTCAAGGAGGATCTCGCGCCGAAGCTGCCCCTCCACGGCGGCCACGCGGACCTGTGGCGCACGTCGCGCATGACGCTCCGGTCGTCCGCGGCGCCGCCGTCGTCCGCGCGGTCCGCGCGGTCCGCCGGCGCGTCGCCGCGGGTCCGGCGCGCCGGCGCCAAAAGCCCCTCGGAGGCGTCGCCGCCGGGCGAGCGGCCCCGCGCCGCGTCCGCGGGCCCGCGCGCGCGGTTCTCCGCGCTCGACGCGGGCGGCTCGCTCGTCACCGACTCCATCGCGACGCCGTCCGTGCTCACGTCCGCGACGCCGCGGCCCCCGGCGCGGCCCCGGAGCTCGCCCGCCGGGGGCGGGTCGCTCTACGCCGAGTCCGGCGGCGACGCGTCCGCGGCGGGCGGCTCGTCCGCGGGCCGCGCGCGGTCCGCGACGTCGCGGCCCCGGAAGCCGCGCATCCTCGCCGTCGAGGGCCTGGCGAAGACGCTGGGCTCCGAGCTCGCCGAGAAGCCCATCCTGCTCCACCGCATCGGCCTCAAGTACGAGGGCGAGTACGCGCTGGCGTCCGTGCTGCGCGCGGCGCGGAACGCGCAGCTCCTCATCGTCACCTTCTACTTCCCCGAGAAGATCACGACCTACACGACGGCCCTGTCCGTCGACGCCGCGGCGGCCTGGCTGAAGATCGACGCCAAGGTGCTCCGCGCGACGGAGCTCCGCCTGTCCGCGCGCGTCTCGCGCGAGCAGGCCGAGGACACGCGCCGGTCCGACGCGTCGCGCGCGGCCAAGTACTGGGAGCAGCTCGTCTACTGCTTCAAGCTCGAGGCCAGGGCCGACGCGGCGCCCGAGGACGGCGGCGCGCCCGCGCTGGACCTCGCGCTCTGCCTCCCGCCGAAGCCCCTCGGCCGCCGCGGCTCCCTACTCGCGGAGCCCGCGCGGGCGCGGCTCAAGGAGCGGGCCCTGGAGACGCCGCCGGCGCCGGCGCCGGAGCTGAAGCTCGCGGAGAAGCGGCGCATGTCGGCCCAGGTCGCTGCGTCGGCGATCAGATCCGCGGAGCTCGCGCGCCTCGCGGCAGAGAGGCCGCCCAAGGAGGCCGCGGCGCCCGACGCGCCCCCGCCGGAGGCCGACGCGCCGCCCGCGGAGACGGCGCCGGCGGAGACGCAGGCGCCGCCCGCGGAGACGGCGCCGGCGGAGCCGGAGGCGCCGCCCGCGGAGACGGCGCCGGCGGAGCCGGAGGCGCCGCCCGCGGAGACGGCGCCGGCGGAGACTCCGTCGCCGCCCGCGGACGCGGACGCGGGCGACGCGGACCTCGACGCGGCCGCGGCCACGCTGCAAGCGCGCATGCGCGGCCGCCAGCAGCGCGCCGAGGCCCCGGAGGAGACGCAGGTGCCGATGAAATCGAAACACCACACGCGCGCCGAGTACGACGATTCCGAGGAGGAGGGGATCCCGCACTCGCCGGAGCCCGTCGCGCGGACGCGGGAGACCCTCGAGCCGGCGCCGGAGCCGGCGCCGCCCGCGCCCTAGGAGCCCCCGAGCACCGACTACGAGACGTAAGCGGTTACGGCACGCGGACGACGACCTTGCCCGTCGTCTTGCCCGACTGGAGGTGCTTCAGCGCCCCGGGAAGGTCGTCGAAGTGGAAGGCGGCGCCGTCGAGGCACGGCGGCCGGCCGCCGGCGCAGTCGAGGAGCTCCGCGAGGGCCGCCTCGAGCACGTCCTCGCGCTCCGTGAGCCAGATCAGGTTGAAGCCGAAGACCGCGCGGTTCGTGCTCGTGAGCTCGCCCGGGTCGACCATGGGCCGCCGGAGGTAGCTCGGCACGAGCGAGAGCCACTTGAGCGGGCCGCCGGCCGCGGCGCCGTAGCTGTGCGTCGCCCCGAAGTGGACGAGGCGGCCCATGGGCGCGAGGCGGTCGAGCGCCTCGGAGAACCAGGGCCCGCCGAGCGATTCCAACACGACGTCGAAGCGGGGCACGTGGCGCAGGTGGTCCCGGTACGCGCGGTCCGGCCGCGCCGGCCGCACGAGGACCTTGAAGCGGCCGTCGGCGACCTCCGCCGGGAACCGCGCGTGGATCGCGTCCTTCTTCGCGTCGCTCGAGACGACGCCGACGGCGTCGCAGCCGAGCGCGGCGCAGATCTCGAGCGAGAGCATGCCCACGCCGCCCGCCGCGCTGTGCACGAGGACGCGCGAGCCCGCCGTCGCGGCGCCGAGCTTCGCGAGGCCGTAGTAGGCCGTGAGGCCCTGGACGAGCAGCGCGGCGGCCTCCGCGTCCGTCCAGCCCGCGGGCGTCGGCCGCAGCAGTTTTCCGCGCTGCGTGACGGAGTCGGCGAAGGCGCCGAAGCGCGTGAAGCCGAAGACGCGGTCGCCGACGGCGTAGCCGCAAGCGGCGCCGGCCTCCTCGACGGTGCCCGCGAACTCGAGGCCCGCGACGGAGAGCGGCGGCTGCTCGCTGAACGCCGCGTAGAGGCCGAGGACGCTGAAGACGTCGGCGAAGTTGAGGCCGATGGCGCCGACGCGCACGCGCGCGCAGTCCGGCGCGAGCGCCTCCGCGATCTGGATCTCCTCGAGCTCCAAATTGTCGATGCTGCCGAGCTGGCGGCTCCGCCAGACGCGGCGCGTCTGCCGCAGGGCGCCGCACCAGACGACGACGGCGCTCGCGAGGAGGAGGGTCCGCATGGCTGCCGGACGGCGCGCGTTCTTGCAGGCGATGCTTGCCGCTGCCGCTGGACGGCGCGCGCCGCGGAGATCTTCTCCTTTTGCAGGCGCTGCTTGCTGGACGGCGCGCGACGCCGCCGGTGGATCTTCTCCACTCGACAGAGATCGAGCTCCACGGCATCATCGGAGATTGTTGCCGTCAACACGTTGTAATTGCCGCCCGAGCCCGCAGCCCGCTGGGCAGCGCCGGCACGCCCGCGGCGCCCCCGCGGCGCCGCGCTTTTCGCGGACCATGGTCGTCCTCGGGCGCAAGGAGGAGGAGATCCTGGACAGCGCCTTCCTGAAGCGCATGGAGATCTCGAACCCAACGGACTGGAGCCGCTACGCCGACGACCCCGACGGCATCATGAACCAGCGGAAGATCACGCGCGAGGAGCGGCGGCGCCAGTTCCAGGTGTCGCTCGCCGTCGGCGACCCGCGGCGCACGGCGCCGCGCCTCTTCCGGCCCCTCTTCGAGGAGAAAAAGGCCGCGGACATCGAGATCGACAGCTACGCGGACGGCGCGCGGATCCGGTTCCTCCGGGCGACGGGCGGCCGCTTCTGGGACCGGCTCTACCTCGCGCTGCTCGGCTGGTTCTTGGTGCTGTTCCCGGCGGTCATGGAGAACGACTTCGACCTGGGCTGCCGCGCGCGGTCGCCCGGCGACCCGTCGCACCTCGCGGACCGGTCCGGCGGCGCGTGCACGGTGCTCTGGCCGCCGCTCGTGCTCATGACGCTCGCCGTGGCGCCGCCGGCGCTCGGGGCGCTCTTCATGCGCGTCTTCGCCTTCGACTTCCTCAAGAAGCAGCGCGGCGAGCGGCGCCACTGGTCCTTCTTCTTCGTACTGGCGCTCAAGGCCGCCGCGCAGCCCGCGACCGTGCCCGAGGAGTTCGTCGACTCGTTCCTCTACGCGACGGAGTACGCCAAGGCCTGCCTCCGGAAGCGCCTGGGGAAGAAGTTCGGCAAGGTCGCGCCCGCGGACGACGACGACGACGACGACGAGCCGAGCGACGACGAGGAAGACGTCGCCGAGGGCCCCGCGCCCGCGCCCGGCGGCGCGCCGTCGCCCAAGAAGGGCTTCCTCGCCGCGGCGCGCCTCATGGCCGCGGGCGCCAAGAGCAAGCGCAACGTGAAGAAGAAGCGCAAGGCCGTCGAGGAGGGCCCCGCGGAGGCCCTGGGCAAGCGCGCGAAGATCAAGGCGGCCGCGGCCGCCGCCGCGGGCCTGAAGGGAGACACGCAGGAGGACAGGGAGATCACGCAGAAGCGGGCCATGGACGCGACGAGCGCGCTCCACAAGCTCCACCACGAGGACGAGGCGCGCAAGGTCGTCTGGCGCTGCGTGTCGTGCGGCCGCGACAACCGCGAGCCCCTCTCGACGAAGCACCCGGAGTCCGTGGAGATGCTCGTGCACCGCATCCAGCGCAAGTCCGGCGGCGACGACCGCATCTGCGCGTCCTTCAAGACGGAGCGCTACGTGCCCACGTGCTCTACCTGCGGCACGCCGATGAACTACAAGATCCGGCCCTCGAACGCGCACGCGTTCCACGACCCGTCCGGCGACGCCATCCACGCCTTCACGCTGCTCAACGCCGAGCGCGCGGCCCAGGACAAGCGCATCGAGGAGGAGAAGAAGCGCGAGAAGGACCGGCAGCGGCGCGCGGCGAAGAAGAAGAAGGGGGGCGCGGCGGACCACGAGCCGTCCGCGGGCGCCAAGGCCGTGACCAAGGCCATCGGCGCCATCAAGATGGGCGCGGCGCGCAAGGAGCGCGTCGACTGGCAGCACCAGAAGGTCCAGTTCGACGCGCTGACGGGTTTGCGGCTCGACGACGCGTCCGTCGAGGAGGAGAAGGCGGAGCCCCTCGCGAAGCGGCTCCAGCGCGGCGCGCTGGTCATCGTGACGGACCCGGGCGCGGACGCCCTGGGCGGGCCGCGGCGCGACTCGCCGACGCGGACGCCCGGCGGGTCCCGGAAGCCGGGCACGCCGGGGACGCCGAAGACGCCGGGCACGCCGGGCACGCCCGGGTCGCTGGGCAGCGACCGCGACACGGTCGACGCCGCGGCCTACATCCGCGAGATGATGGCCGCGGAGGAGGCGGCGAAGAAGAAGAAGAATTTGGCGAACTGCTTCCGGAAGGTCAAAGAGGCCTACGTCAAAGTCCGCAAGTTCCTCCGGCGCAAGGACATGCACTACGGCGACGACAAGATGCTTTTTAATGATTGGTCCTTCGCGAAGAAGGTGAAGCAGTTCAAGCCCCAGCCGGACCGGCGCGCGCTCCGGCACCTCGAGCACTACGACGTCGGCGCCGAGGTCGAGTCCTTCGAGCACATGCCGACGTGGTACCCCGCCGTCGTCGTCAAGTACAACGCCAACGGGTCCTATGTTTTGCGCTTCGACAACGGCGAGGTCGCCGACGCCGTGGACCCCGCGCACATCCGGTTCCGCGTCGCGCCGCCGATCTCCGGGCTCCAGCAGTTCGTCTGCGCGTCGCTGCTCGTCGTCTTCGCCGTGTGGCCCGCGTGGATTGCGCTCTACCTCGCGGAGCGGGGCTTCCGGGCCTCGGGGCCGGGCGTGCTCGTCGTGCCGTTGCTATTGTTCGCGCTGCTCATGATGGTCGCGATCAGGGCAGCAAAAGAGAGCGAAATTCCCAACTTCAAAGGCTCATATCTCGGTCGTTTTCCACTCGTTTCGGCTGACCTTTGGACGAGCGATCGTCTCTCGGAACGGTCTCGAAGCGTGGATGCTTTTTCCGGAACGCGCGCGGCACACTCACGTTGAAGCGACGTTGAATCACCCTTGTGCTGCCCAGGTCGCGATCGCGCTGCAGATGTTTTTGTTATTTTTGCGGGGCGGCCAGGAGGCGGGCTGCAACCTCTTCTGCAAGATCTCGTCGTTCTACATGCTGGCGCCGTTCTTATTGTTCGTCTTCGTCTGCGTCTGCCTCGCGGGCGACGAGGGCTTCGGCGCGCTCATCCCCTTGGCGCTGTTCCTCGGCGCGCTGGTCACGGTCGCGGCGACGGTGAAGCCCCTCTACCGCTACCTCTTCACGGCGGCGACGATGCCCCTGCTCCTCTTCGCGGCGCTGCTGGCGGAGTGGTCGACGCAGGACGGCCGCGGCTACCT